TTGCCTTGTTATCACCTTTGGTATCATGTCTCTACACTCCATGGGCTGATGTATAGCCAATTTGTCCAAAGGCGTCATAGTCCGAAGGCATCATCCTCATAGCTTGAAGACACCATGTCATGTCCCGAGGATCTCTCAATACTGCGCACCATTATTCAAAGGCGTCATGGTTCAGAGGCACCATTCTCATGGCCCGAGAACATCATTTCATGGCCTGCGAATCTCTTATCTCATGATTCATGGCCCCGGACATCATGGTCTAAGGACGTCATCTTCACTGTCCAGAGACAACCTTCATGGTCCAAAGGGAACTTGCATCATGTTTAAGTTCTCACAATACTCAATATACTGGCATGCATTGTGTTTTAAGTTTTGCAGGTAATCCAGGAGGTAACTGTTCTTCAAACAGGAGCCACCTTCGCTCCGGTCTCCACTCATACCCTTCCGGTGTCTATTTGTGCCTTACCATTTTTTGCAAGTAATCCAGGAGGTAACTGTTCTTCAAACGGGAACCACCTTCACTCCGGTCTCCAATCATACCCTTCTGGTATCTATTTGTGCCTTACCATTATTTCAAACGTAATCGATTCCCATCAATTACTCGCCTTTACCCCATGGCCGTTCAGATATCTGCCCTATGATACATCCATCACACTTTAGGCTCATATTGATGACTTAGCACAAAACCCATCTGATACTATCCTCCCCGAGAAGGGAACCCTTCTGAGACATGCTACCATTCCTATAACAATTACATCGATTTCGTTCACCGTTGGGTCCAGAACTACACATGGCCTGATTCCTGTAAAACCAGGGATATGTAGAAAGCTCAGAGACCAGGGTGCGGCCTATATCTTTTCCCGTTATTGTCTATCTCTGTCAACTATAATAGATTGACTGATTTTATTTAGGATTTGAATTATATTTTCCTGTTAAAATCGGTACTTTCCCATGATTTTACCTATTTTTCTTATCCGTGACGCCTAATGGATTACTTGCCTTAATTAGTTTATTAGCCTTACTTCTAGGTTTTGATTTGCTCTAACCGGCTTATGATTTATTAACTACCTTATTTAAATCCCAATGTGAGTTGTTAATTGATTCTCCCCAATTTAAGGGGGTGTTTTCCGGATTTTGTTTGTACCAATTAGCTTGGGTTTAGCCCCAATTCACTGATTAATTATAAGCTTACCTTATTTGTGAACTCTAATTTTCTTGCCTTAGTTGTCTCCTCTGCTGAATGCTATATAAACTCCATTTTGATTTCTTTCAAACACAAGAACAGACTCAGAAAGAAACACACACACACACACACACAAACTCTTGCTCTTATTCAAACCTTTCTGTTACTTGTGTTTGCTGCATTGTCTAGCCGGCTGAAAGCCAAGGCTAGACTATTGGATTCTGCATACTTTCAACTTTCTGTTTGCTATTTCCTAATTGGTATGTCTCCATTCCTATTATCATTCAATATGCTATGGAGTTGAACCTATGTGCTTCATGTTTACTACTCTTAATCAGCATGTCTACTTCTATGTAAGTTGAACCTGTGTGCTTTATGCTTATTGATCTTAATCAGCATGTCTACTTCTATGTAATTAAACCTATGTGCTTCATGTTTATCACTCTTAATCAGCATGTCCACTTCTATGTAATTAGGCCTATGTACTCCATGTTCATGGATCTTAACCAGCATGTCTACTTTCATGAAATTAGACCTATGTGCTTCTTGTTTTCAGTATGTCTGCCTTTATGTAATTAGACCTATGTCTATTTGTTTCTCAACTAGCATGATTTTTGTCCTGTTTTAAGTGTTCACCCTTAACAAACTCCTGATTAATTCATGATTTCTATGCTCTCAACTTCTGCTACCTTTCTGTATGGTTGTCTGATCAGTAACTTGATCCCAGCATGATGTTCTCTGATTAATATAAGCCTGTATTGTTCACTTAGTAATAGCTAATGGATTAGGGCCATGTGAAACCTTGTTCAAATTAATTGTCACTTTGTTCTGACTGTTGTTTGATTGCTGGAGTTCATAGCTGAATTACTTCTGCTAAGTGTGTGTTGCTTGTGGCTCTTGTAATTTGGTAATCTGTTTCTATGCACTTCTGAAATCCAAACCGTTTTCTTTACTAAAACTACTTCCTATTTTTATACTATTTTCAACTCCTACTCTTAGATATCTTAGGGTCCTACCCCCTCCCTCCCCCCCCCCCCAATGTGAGCACTGCTTAGGGTCCATGAGACTCCTCTGAACTCTGACACATTGGGGCTGGTTTCCAATCCTTTATGAACTGTGTGTTGAACATATGATCCTGGTGTGAGCACTGCCCGGGGTCCTTGAGGCCCTTGGGAACTTTGACACACCAGGAACCAGCTTTATGTGTTATGGATAGACTACCACTATGCTCAGAGGTGCTATGTTTGGAGGCTTGGTTCCAAGTGGATGTTGGGCCTATGAAGGCTATCTATAGTATAGTAATTTTCATTATGTAATTCATTTATTTTGGTCTGTATGATAATTCTTGTAAAACAGATAGCGTGGTTATTAGTGAAAGCTGGGAGGGATTTTTACATATCTCTGTTGAAATTGGGTAGAGAACCTGCCTATAGAACTTGATTATGCTGGTATTGTGTTATTGTTTTGACTTTGTGCTACACATCACAAATCCTGTTATAAGGCTTTACGTTTATTTCTGCATGTTTGACATCCTGTTTATGGGACTTGCACGTATGTTTTATCCAATGTGCATTAGTAACCATATCTATAGGCTATTGACTGTTCGAATAACCATTTTCCCTGTCAATGCGCTCTAAGAATTCTGCCTATGCATGAGTAATAGAGGTCCTGCCTATAGGAACTGAAGTCATCCAGATACTATGCCTATAAGGTTTCAAAAATTAATTCCTGCATTTCATTACCATGCCTATAAGGTTTCAAATTAATTTTTGCATTTAGATACCATGCCTATAAGGTTTCAAGATCAGTTTCTACGCTTAGATATCATGCCTATAGGGAATGCATATAACATCGGTCTTCTGCGTCATAAAATAATGCTTTTATTCAGTCCCAGCACTTAGAAAACATGCCTATAGGGTCTAAATGGATAAAATCTACCGGTTTAAACTAGTCACTGGTTTATAATACGTTTAGATATCATGCTTATAGGATCCTGCCGGTTATTGCCTAGGCAAGCCTGTAGGATAATTAAAACCCTGAAATTGCCAAAAACTGTGTTTGTTTGACTTCTTATATACTACCCAGATTCAGGAAGTAAATAAAGTCAGTAAGCAAACTGATTAGGTACTTACTGCCTCGCCTTAATAGAACCGCTGCATATTGTGTGCTCGTCTAAATACCCTGCTATAGGATTTTAAATCGTTTAAAATTATTTGTTTGAGGCGTGCATTTGTTTTTTGTCTATTTGTGGAGGTAAAATATGAGCCCCCTTAATTGCATCTTTATGTGATAGTCCTATTTGGCTTTTTGTTTGTTGCTTAGTTTTCTCCTTTTAAAACAACATAGGTGAGTTTAGAACTTCCTTAAATAGAGGTCCTAAACACCTCCAAGGCCACATGCAAAGGACGGGTAATGCACGTATAGGGCATGTATAGGATGTCATTAGAACGCTTAGGTAATAAACAAAGGGGGAGGGTAATTGGGTAGTAAAAGGAAATGATGACTTGTGCGCTAATGCTATGTGTAGCACTATGTGTAGCACCCCAACTTGGGGACAATTACCAAGTATTGCACAGAAGTGATCCTATAGGCCAAAAAACCTAGGACCCCTTTTGCTCCTTGTATTAAAAGTAATATCTATTTGTTTATCTGCTTATAAGACTAATTCGCTAAAATCGAGTTTGGTCGGGACCCACCATTGTGGACCTCGAGGGGTGCCTAACACCTTCCCCTCAAGGTAATTTCGAGCCCTTACCCAATCTCTGGTGATGTAAAATAGTTCACGAGTTATTTGTTCTAGGTGCCCTAACGCACCTTAATCCATTAGGTGGCGACTCTTCAAATCTCATACCCAATTCCCAAAAGGAAAAGGAGTTGTCCCAAAAAAATGTCGAAACCCGAACTCCGCGAGGAAAAAGGGGGCGCGACACCATCTTGACTTCAATTTTCCCGAAAACAACCTCAATCTCGAATTGAATAATAGTACCACGTCCCCCGGCTTAAAATTTTGCTCAAGAATATTTTTTTCATACACCAGTTTCATTCTTTCCTTACATAACCTTGTACTCTCAAAAGCACGGTACCGGAACTCGTCAAGTTCATGCAGCTCTGTGACTCTACTAGTTCCAGGGGCCTCCAAGTCCAAATTTAATTGTCGTAACGTCCAGAAGGCTTTATGCTCTAACTCCACCGGCAAGTGACATGCCTTTCCAAATACCAATTTATACGGTGACATACCAATTGGAGTTTTGAATGCGGTGCGGTAAGGCCATAGCGCATCATCCAATTTTCTCGCCCAATCAGTCCGAGTAGAATTTATAGTTTTGGTCAAAACACTCTTGATTTCTCTCTTTGACACCTCGACTTGCCCACTTGTTTGTGGGTGATATGGAGTAGCAACTTTATGGCGAACGCCATATTTCTCCAACAACTTTGCAATGGCTCGGTTGCAGAAGTGGGTGCCCCCATCACTGATGATAGCTCTTGGAGTTCCAAATCGGGTGAAGATATTCTTTCTCAAGAAACTAATAACTGCCTTCGCATCATTTGTTGGAAGTGCCACGAATTCTACCCATTTCGAGACATAGTCCACCGTTACAAGTATGTACTTGGTATTATATGAGCAGACAAATGGTCCCGTAAAGTTGATTCCCCATACATCGAATACTTCCACCTCTTGAATTGGGTTTATGGGCATCTCATGTTGACGGGAAATATTCCCCGTCCGTTGGCACTCATCACAACTGTTAACCCAAAAGTGTGCATCTTTATACAACGTCGGCCAATAAAAGCCTGACTCCAACTTTAGTTGCTGTCCTTACACCTCCAAAATGTCCTCCAACAGTGAAGCATGACATGCCAGCAAAACAAAAGATTGATCTATCTCGGGAATGCATCTCCAGATCATGTTATCAAGACAAATCCTAAACAAATATGGTTCATCCCAGAAATACATGCAACAATCACGAAAAAACTTTTTCTTTTGTACAGAAGACAAGTCATAAGGAACAATACCGCTTTCTAGGTAATTTGTAATATCTGCATACCATGGTGTAGCCTCGAGGCTCGTTGCTAAAAGTTGTTCATCTGGGAAAGTCTCCATGATCTCCTCCACCTCAACCTTCTTTTCCGCTCCTTCCAGCCTAGACAAATTATTAGCAACTTGGTTTTTTGTTCCCTTTCGGTCCCGAATTTCCAAGTCGAACTCTTGTAGCAGTAGCACCCATCGAATTAGGCGCGGCTTTGACTCCTTTTTCTCTATTAGGTACCTGAGGGCAGCATGGTCAGTGTAAACAATTTCTTTTGAGCCAATCAGGTATGACCTGAATTTATCAAATGCGAACACCGCAGCTAGCATCTCTTTCTCTGTCACTGTGTAGTTCAGTTGGGCGCCGCTCAAGGTTCTACTTGCATAGTAGATCGGATGCATGACTTTATCTTTTTGCTGCCCAAGAACTGCTCCTACAGCATAGTCGCTTGCATCGTATATCAGCTCGAAAGGTAGCCCCCAATCGGGGGCCACTATGATTGGTGCAGTTTCTTCTTCAACTCCTCAAACGCTACCTTGCAATCTTTAGAAAACACAAAAGGGTGATCTTTTTCAAGCATTTACACAAGGGATTAGCAATTTTAAAGAAATCTTTTATAAACCTTCTATAGAAGCCGGTGCGGCCAAGGAAACTTCTTATTGCTTTGACGGAAGTGGGTGGTTGTAGCTTTTCTATGATATCAACCTTTGTGCGATCCACCTCAATGCCCTTACTTGACATTAGGTTCCCCAAGATTATACCTTCCTATACCATGAAATGACACTTTTCCTAGTTGAGCTGAAGATTAGTCTCCACACATCTTTTTAGCACTCTTTTCAGATTCTTTAGGCAATCATCGAATGAGTCTCCCACCACTAAGAAATCATCCATGAAGACCTCAATTATGTCTTCTACCATATCTGTGAAGATGGCCATCATGCACCTTTGAAATGTGGCAGGTGTATTGCATAGGCCGAACGACATTCTCCGGAAAGCATAGACGTTATATGGAAAGGTGAATGACATTTTCTCTCTATCTTTCGGGGCAATAGAGATCTGATTATACCCCGAGTATCCATCCAGAAAGCAGTAGTGGGACCTCTCAGCCAATCTATCTAACATCTTATCAATGAACGACAAGGGAAAGTGGTCTTTTCGGGTGGCCTTATTCAACCTTCTGTAGTCCATGCAAATTTGCCATCCCATGACTGTTCTTGTTGAGATCAACTCGTTGTTCTCGTTTTGCACTACAGTCATTCCACCTTTCTTTGGTACACATTGAACTGGGCTAATCCAGTTGCTGTCGGATATGGGGAAAATGATCCCCGCATCTAACCACTTTATCACCTCCTTTTTCACAACTTCTTTCATGTTGGGTTCAGCCTTCTTTGATGTTCTCTGGAAGTCTTGTGGCCATCTTTCAGCAAAATCTTATGCATACCGAAGGTCGGCCTAATACCCTTAATGTCTGCAATGATCCAACCAATTGCAGTTTTGCACTCTATCAATACCTGCAAAAGTTGTTCTTCCTGCACATCTAACAAACCAGATGAGATAATAACAGGTAAAGTTGAGTTAGGTCCCAAGAAAGCATACCTGAGATGAGATGGTAGCGGTTTCAGTTCCAACTATGGTGGCTCTTTGATCGATGGCTTAGCTGGAGGAGTCTTTCTTTCTTCTAAGTGCAAAGAATCAAATCCGGGCTCTCTTTTCCAAAACCCTTGGCCTTCCAGAGCCAACACCCACTCCGCCAAGTCCTCTCCGTTTACTTCTTCTAAGTTCATGAAACAGGCTGCTAGAGGGTCTTTAGCATTCAGAGTCTCATCTTCCTCCACCAAATTTACATCCACAACTTCTATTAGAAAGCAGTTAGCAAATTCACTTGGTCGCCGCATGGACTTCTGCACATTGAATGTTATCTCTTCATCATTCAGACTCATTTTTAGTTCTCCAGTTTCATAATCAACCAGAGCTCTCCCAGTGGCCAAGAATGGTCTTCCCAAAATTATGGGAATCTCCTAGTCAACCCAGCAGTCCAAAATGACAAAATCTGCTGGAAACACAAATTTTCCAACCTGCACTAGTACATCATCAAGAATACCTGATGGCCTCTTCATTGTCCGATCGGCTAGCTGTAGTAACATGGATGTGGGTCTTGATCTTCCAATGCCTAACCTTTTGTAAATAGCCTAGGGCATCAAGTTTATGCTTACCCCCAAATCACACAATGCTTTGGCAAAAGCATAGCTGCCTATTGTGCATGGGATTGTGAAACTCCCTGGGTCTGACAACTTCTCAGCTATCGGTCTCATCACGACAGCAGTACAGGTCTAGGTTAGTGTATAGTGGTGAGTATTACCGCCTGTCATGCGGGTGATCCGGGTTCGTTCCCGGCAACGGCGCCTAAATTTGATCACGCCCAAGTATGCCTTATAAAAAGGACTAAGCGGTTGTTGCAAATATATTCTAGTTAATAAGTCTGGAGTCGAATCCCACAGGGAATTAACCTATTAAGCACAACTACTAGACTCCCACAAATTCACGCAATCAATCTTCAGAAATATTTGAATAACAAATTGGATGTTACTAACTAAATATCACGTAATGAAAATGCATTAATGAATAACTAACTACGAACAAGTAGTAGACAAGAATTAGAATTATCTAAGGTTATGATTTCCCCTATTGTCGGAATCCTTTCCGCTATGTTTTCTATAAATTTACCTAAGTTTTCTCTACCGATCATGAGATATCTGAGTGTCGTAATTCTCTCCCGCGTAACTATCACAAGTTACTAGACATATTCTTCCGAATTACGCTAGCTGGAACTGAGTATGGCTTACTCGGATCGCACCAAGGTTTCGTTATTCCTAATCCCACCTTTAAGCCCTTCGTATTGATCCCTCATATGCGTTAGGAGTAATGTTGTTCAACAACTACCTAAATATGCACTCTCTTCCGAGTAATACACACTAAATAGGCACAGTCGATTGAAAGCTCTTCAACCAACCACAATATGAACGTAGTTGAACAAATAGAGAAAAAGCTATGGTAAATATATATTAATGTAACAAGAAAATCATCCTCCAATAGGTTCCATCAAAACCCTAGTTAGGAGTTTAGCTACTCATACTCATAGTAACAATATCCCAAGTATTTTGCATAAATAAATTATAAAGTAACGATGAAGGAATGTAGAAATCGATGATTCTATCTCCCAACGGGTGTTCCACGAGCTATTCTTACCTCCGGTCGCAAAAACCCTTCAAAAGTGGTGTTTAATGTCCATTTATATGTGTAGGAAAGGCCCTAAACAACATAACCTCAGTCCAAGTCCAACAAGGAGACGAAATAATCCTTCAAAATCTGGATCAGGCTCGCCTCAGACCATGCGACGCCTGCCTCCACGCGAGCTCAACCTCACCTTATCCCTCGCGTCGCCTGCTCCCATGCGAGCTCAAAGGCTCGCCTCGCCAGCTTCCACGCGAGCTCAAAGGCTCGCTTCGCCTGCTGCTTCATTTCTTCAGCTGCTCAATTCCTTCTTTCGTCTTTCCAACAGTTTTCAAGCACTCTTTATACTTTACATATTCCCTTTGCTCTAATTTCATCTCCAATGCACCTACACATAAAATAGACTCCATTACGTGCAAATAAAGTATAGTTTAGAATTAACGCACCTAAAATGCAAGGTAAATAATGTGCTAAAATATGAAATTATAGCCACACATCAGCATGACTTTGTGATTGTTCAAATGTTCACCAAACTCTACCATATTGACATGACTTTGTGTTATTTGCGTCGGATCTATTTACTAAATTATTCACAAACTCTACCCGGTTTGCATGATTTTGTGCTTGTTCAATTGTTCTCTAAACTCTACTAGATTGGCATGACTTATTTGTGAAATTCACATAGTCTATCCGATTAGCATAATTTGCATGTGTTACAAACAAAGTGTTATTTGAAATTACATTTAATTCGATCAAATCACCCCAAGTTTGCTTCAAACGATGTCAAATTTGAAACAAAGCCTCCCAATTTCAATACAAACGATCCTCACTCACAAATTTAGTCAAATAGCACTAAATCAAGAAGACCCACTTTGTCTTGTCCAACACATTCCAAGGACCAACAATAAAGTTTTGAGATTTTTAGAGCAGATCACTAAATTGAACTAAAAGTTCAAGTACAGATTATCAACATTCAAATGATTTTATCAAAAATCAATCATTAACTTCCAATTTTAACCCACACAAGAATTCTAAGCTTCTAATATTGAAAAATATGGTATTCTTAATTAAGAAGAAGCTTAACTTTGCAATAAAATAAAAATCAGGAACAATACTTAAAGATCAGCACCCTAAGGGGACAACCGGTGTAATTTGGGAGAAATTTAAAAATAGTTAGATTTACAAGTGGTCATTCAAAAATAGCCACAGTTTCAAAGGTAATCGAATTTTAGTCACTTTTCGTGTAAAGATAAATCTGAACGAAAACACTGTTCAAAATCCGGAAAAATACTCCAGTATAATATACTGGAGTTCCAGTATACTTATGCTGGAACTCCAGTATAATATACTGGAATTTCAGTATAATATACCGGTCCAGCATAATATATTGGAGATTGGAGCACCAGTGCTCCAATCTCTAGTTATATTATACTGGAACTTTCCGCGTGTTGGAATTCCAGCATAATATGCTGGAAGTTCATACACAAGTGCACCGATATCCAGTTTATTATGCTGGAACTTTCCGTGTTGCAGCAAAATAGTGGTTGTTTTTCCATGACTTTATAAATGCTGGCTATTTTTGAATGACCATCCCAAAAACTGGCTAGCCCGTGCTATTTTACGTGTAATTTCACATTAATTCCACCTACGTTATCTGGGCCTTAAGAGTCCATTAACACCAATCTCATACATATGAATTGGGCAGGTTACAAAGGACCAATTTGAGGTGTAGCCGCAATCATGTTAGCTGGCCCAGAGACTTGGCCTAACATTGGGTGAAACTCTATGATTAGTGATTGGATATAGACCTATCCCATACTTGATAGCACTCTCATTCATTCGACGCAAATAATCATCTAAATGGTTGTTGTCGAGACCAATGTACTTTCTTTGTTTATAACCATCTCATGATTAGTTCGCGCGCACCTTAATTAATTTCACGAGATATTTACTACCTTCTACCGGCACAAATATTAAGTGTCAGTATACTTTATAAATTATAATAAACCACCTGCATAGGATTAGAGTTATAAATTAATGATTGTAAGTTTAGCTTCATTTTAGCTGCAGGATATGAATCTCATTATCAAAGCTATCTGATTTTCTATCTTCGCCTCCTCATTGTAGCTCTATCCTAAAATTGAAAATAAGAAAGAACAACCTAAGATTGTGTTTCTTTCCTCTGTAATCCTATTATTATACCTCCCACAATTAAGCGCATCTTTCTCCTATGTAAAAGAATCCAACATCTTAAATCGGTAGATGTAGAGTGTCATTCTACTCATTACTTCTTTGTGACAACAGTCAATACTTAGTACACTTATAATTTTGTGAAAATTTATATATGTATAAATTTAATCAAAGATAGTAGGTGCGAAGCACTCCGTATCATACGTGCATCTAGTATGACGTGACAAATTACTTAACATCTTATCTTGTACAAATGGTTGTGTTTCATCGTTAGATGCGACATTATTTTCTAGAGGTCGTTTGGTAGGGTGTATAAGAATAATGTTGAATATGATGTATTAGTAATGTCGGGATTAGTAATACTTGAATTAGTTATATTGAGATTATTTTCTATTCACTGTTTCGTTTGGTGTATTAAAAATAACATGCATTGCATAGAGGTGTTGTATACATACTTATCCATGTGTACTAAAAATCATGATATTACTAATGTTATGGTTTATTATGTATTAGTTGTATATAGAATAATACCAAATAGGGTGTATAATTACTAATACATATATTAGTTATGTTTAACCAAAAATAAGATTTTAGGTCAAAGCTTGAATTTAGAAGAACACGGGTTACTGATAATCGGAAAAGAGTATATAAAGAAAGAAATTTGTGAATAATATAATCAGAAAGCAAGTAAATCTAAGTATATTCCAATAGTATTTTTTTCGTACTTACAGTTGTTTGTGACTTTCCCTTTTATAGCCATTTTGGGAATACAGACTTTACCTTTGTCATAATAAGACAATTATGGGCAATTAATGACTTTAAATGTTACGTTATGC